TAAATAAATAATATGTTAGGCAATCTTAAATAGGTATATAAAATATTTGCTTATGAAAGATAAAACCAAAATGGAATTAAAAATGCCACCAATCCTACCAAACTGAGTCCCAAGGAGTTCCTGAAAAAGAGCTACCGATCTTGCTCAAAATATTGAGAGTATTTAAGCGCAAGCGTCTGCATTTCATTTGTGCAAATGATTCAATTTGAGGTTTTTTAGGCGATGAGGCAATTATTGCCGGTAAGGAAAAACACAATAAATATATATTTAGGGGAAGGGGAGTGGTTTTTCAGGGGAACTTGCATACATTTGAGTATCCAGCGCCATCTCTTCTCGGCTAAAATGTGTATCTATGTATCTAAATATTTGAGGAGCGAAAGGATCTTCCAGGAGATCAGACATCAAAGGATCAGATCCTTTTGCATGGCTATCACAACAAATATGCACATCAAGTGGCCTTTTTTGTGTTTGGTCATGGCGCAATCCTTTCTTTTTATCTCTCCAATAAACTCTTGAACTCTTTTGGCTTTGAATTTGGTTTTGGTTTTGGGTTCGCGTTTCGGGACTTCTTTGTACGCGTGGCTTATGTGGAGATGCCGTAGCATCCTGCGCCAACGGGTAATTACAGATCATGATTTATGGCCAGCTGACCCGGCCCCACCAAAAAAAAAACAAAAAACAAAAAAAAGGCCACAAAACCAACGATCGATCAGTTCAGCTCTGTCCGCCCATTTTGGCCCCTTTGGGCAACTAAAAAACTCCGCTGCAGATGCGTCTCCTCAGACAGCGTCAGCTTGTTTTGCTCTTTCGCATTTTATGCAAATAAAACGAACAACAGTGCAGCCCAGCGAGCGAGATGTGTTTGACAAAAGTCGAGAATTCCGAGCAACGCCACCGCAGAGATTGATGGATCCGAAGGCCAGAGGACTTCAAAACTATTTGCCGCTTTTTTCACACACGGAGAAAAAATGATCTTCAATTTGAGCAAATTTAGAAAGATATTTATTAATTAAATAATAATAATAAAAACAAAAAAATAAATTTATCAGACCGTTTCAATCTCACACATGAAACCTCGCTTAAAAATTAAGTTTAAAATTATCAAAGGATATTTTTTTTAATGTACATTGGCCAGCGATCTAATTGTTTGGTGTTTATGGGCAAAATCTATATAATCCATCAAAAAACATCTCAGACGTTTGACGCTACGTGTTGCGGAATTTCAATGCGGGATATGTGTGCAAATTTCCATTTTTTTGTGTTCCATTGTGGGATTTGGAGGAAGAAGGGCACGTGTGAGGTGGCCAAAGATTGGGCTGTCATCATTGTCATGGTTGAGTTGAATTTTGGCTCTGAACTTGTTGTGGAAGCGAGGAAATCGTTTCAAGTGGCTGGCAATTAGGTTTAGGCAACTGCACTTCTAGTGCGAACTGGAACACACCCAGTAGTGCCACCATGTTGTGTGTTTATGTTGCACGCTCTAATGGGATTATCGCAAACTATTTCTGGGATGATCGCAAGCTCAAGAATTTAATTGGGCGGGCAGACCTCGCTGGTGGTCGTTGGAAAACTGAATAAACACACTTTTGTTTTTGGAAAGGTATTTTTTAGGGAGGAACTGCTCAGAAGGAGGTTATACCTATTATTGGATTACTGCGTCCAGATGACTTAATGCTACTGGAGAGAATTTGAATGATTTCCAATAAAATGCAGAATAAATGGAGTCACAACTTATTGGCCAAACACTAATGATGAAATTTGTGAAGACTTAGGAAGACGGAAAATCGGAGTCAGATGTCGTAAAAATTATTGCGCTGATCCTGGATTTTCTCGTTCATATAAGCCCATTGTAACTCTGGGACAAGGTGCAAAAAAGGGAAAGGGTTGCAGATCCATAGTTAAAATTAAGGCTGGGAGTTTTTCCGCGATTTACCAATTGTCGAGGGGCCGCGCGCTTATTCGGCCCTTTATTTTCGGGCAGGTAAACCCTTTTCCACCCGGCAGGTGGAATTTAAGTCGCTTTGCGCCAACAGGTCAGCGAAAATTAGAAGTCAGGGTCACGGATCGAGGGTCATAAATCCGAAAAGTGGCCAAAAACTGGCACTAGGAATTTCCCAGGCACCATAAACCGTTTTGAATGATCGGAAAACAGGGGAACGAAATCTCGCGGATCGCGGATCATCATCATGAGAAGGGAAAGGTAGCAACCGAGGCGCCTACCTAAGCCAGAGCGTCCGGGGGGAATCCGAGACCCTGAGACAGAGTTATCACATTTGGTATGTAACTACATTTATCACAACCTAATATGACAACTCAAATAACTTTTGCCTGGCGGAGTCGCAATCGCGAATCCCGTGCAACTGCAACTGCTGCCTTGGTTTCTTCTGGCTGGCCGGCTTGTCACATTTGGCTTCGCTAATTGGAACATATTTATCCCCTTCGGCTCCCCAGATGATGAACGTGGCACGATTTGCTGCGATTTATGCATCCTCTGGCCGAAATATAAAGATATCAGTCGGCGGGCTGCTTCATCTCTTGCCGAATAGTTTTTAAAAAGTGTTTAACTAGAATCCAGGAATCTGAGAAATATTCAAAAATATTTTTAAATGGAAAGCTCATGGTTAGAAACCCTTTACATGTTCTTGGTATTTTATTTTTTATTTTTTTGGCTAAAATCCAATGTGTGGGCGAATCCCCATCGAGGGTCCGGCATCAATAATTCATAACGCTAATTAATAACGCCCCAGTTCAAATGCGTTGCGTGCGCCGTGAGATGAAAGGGCCAAAATGCCGACATAACAGGATAATGAACCCCAAAAACGTTGGCCCTTATTGAAATTCAAATAAATCGGTAACGCTGAACGACGCCTGCAACGTTGTGCTGTTTTGATTACCTTGTTCTGCTCGATTTCCTAACTTGTTGGGTATTATAATAATGCAAGAAGATTGAAATCACAGCTTAAATGTATGCTTATTGTGTAAAATAGTCACAGTGTATATAGTTAAATATTTGAAAAATGCATTAATTTGAATACCTAGATGAACAGTTTCAGAAAAGGTTTACAGCAAATATTTTTTCGAATTTTATATTGCTGGAAAGGGTATTTAAAATATCGCCTATTCTTTTCCAAATTCTCCAATGTATTATTTAGTTTGGTTTTCCTTGTTCTCCTCCTTATTTTACTTTATTTTTTGGTTGGCTATCGGGGCGTTTGCATCGCGCCTAAGGTGTAAAAATAAATGTTTCAAGTAACAACTTCTTAAAGAGCTGAATTATGAGCTAAGCTGCGACTGAAAACTGCGACTCGAGCCATCAATCTGCGGTTCGGAGTCCTCGAAACCCTGGACGAGCCTATAATTTGGTCAAATATCTGAGGCCTGATTGATGCAGGCGGCTGTTTTTTTTTTTATGTTCCACAATATTGCTGGAGTGGCGCGTCGAGAAATCTATTAAACAACATTTTTTATTCGAGCCGAGAACTGAAATCAAAAGCAGCTGAAAAATGTTGTTTTTTTTTTTTTTAACTGGGTGCTAGCAAAAGGGAAAGTTCTTCCGGCGCTGAGCGGTAAGCCTTGCCTATAGTATCCCAAAATCCAGAACAGGCATCTTAAAACCTATTTCCATGATCAGAAACAATTGCATTGAGTTGTCAAGTGTCAGCGCTGACGTTGAGAGAAAGGATCCCCGATCCCTTTTCACTTCCTTTGGAGCATCCAGCGATCGCAAGGACAATGCGATCCTTTGTCCGCGCTGCTCTTTAATGTGTCAAAATATAGTCTATGGCCGTATTCTCTCAGGCGTTTGTTTTTTTAATGCAAAGTGATTTATTGTCTGGCCAAGAGGGGTTTTATTCCTACGATCTGATATTTTGGTGCGTGGGAGCGAGGGACTTCGTTATTGTGTGGGGAACGGCTTTTTCTTTTTTCCAGAAACGGAAAGTGCTCAAAAGTGGTGCAGGGAACTATATTATAAAGCCATCAAAACACTCGATTCAAAGGCTAAGCAGAAGAGGGAAAGAAATCCAAGAGACGGGGCTCAAAGGTGGGAAAATATAACAACACATGACATGGTAATCGGATTATTTCGAAATACTTCTTTAGATAATATCCTAACTATTTTCAGTTGCTTAAAACTAGCCAGCAACCAATCATTAAGTATAAAGTGGAAAATAACTAAAAATATGAACTCGACAATTTCTATCTTATTTTTCAACAAAAGTTGTGAGCATTGTTATCAAACTCCCCTAACGACAAGCTTAAAGGGCATATCCTATACGGGAAACTCCCAAACTTGACCTTGACCACATTTCCAGATATTCCGACATAACAATGACGTGATTCAAGGTCTGGCCACGCCCATTTCCGCATCTGAAATTAGAATTCAATTGAATTAGCATACAGCAGAATTGTTTGCGCCAAGTCAGTTGCGATAAGAGTTTGCCGACGTCACTCGCCTTACTTTTCGTGGCTTGTAACTTGCAACGTAGAGTATAGCACGTGTCTATATATGATATATGTTATATATAGTTTCAGAGACTACCTGCAGAAAACAGCTGTCTTTAGACCTGGAGGCCAACTGATCTGGGTGTAGTATTATTTGAGTATTAACCGTTTACGACGCCTCGAGTGGATCGTATAAAACCGATGCCCAGTAATCTGTATTGGTGGTCATATAAGAACTGTAACAAGCCCGCACATCCTGTCTTGGTTTTTTTTGCTGGATTTGGTTCCACATGATTCCACCCTTTGGGTCCCCGCGAAATGCAATTAAAGTGCAAGTGCTACCCGCATAAGTTAGCAACTTGATTATAGGCGGGCTCCCCCTGAACAGAAAAGCCATCTGGTCCTTGTATTTCTTATGATTTCGTTTTATTTCGTCGACCAACAACTATTAACATTAAATTATATTTGTAAAAAAAAAGGTGTTGTCTTCGCTTTTATAAGATAATTATTTTACTTTATTTTATAAATACATATTTGATACTGGTGTTGTAAAAAAAAATTAGCTTAAAATAGGAAAAAAAAATGTATGTGTTTTTTCGCATGAGTGGTATTTACAATTTGAGGCACTTGGTTCAACTCAACATTGACTAGAAGAGAACAGGATGTGTTGGGGTTTCTTTTTTTTTTAAGGATTTTTAGGACCGTTTCACTGCTCCTGCCATAAGGATATGTAGTCCAGGATCTCCTCGTCGTCGGGCGTGCAGTCCTCTTCGTCCAGTTGAAAGTGTTCGTAGGGCTCGAACTTCAGCTGGAGCTGCGAGTGGTGCGTGGTGTGCTCCTCGTTGTCGACGAGGTCTAGGTGCTCCAAATGATTGGACAGTTGCTGGGGAGCCGCCTCGTAGGTGCCCGAATCGAAGGACATGCTGGAGTTGAAGGAGGAAGTGGGCGAGTGGCAGGTTTGCTGGTTGTTGTTGTTGGCGATGGCGATGGTGGCGCCTCCTCCTCCGTTGTTTCCACCCGGCAGTGATGTGGCCACCAGGTTGCTATTTAGCGAGATGGCTGTCAGCGGCTGGTGGTTGAACTGCTGCCTCTGCAGCTGCTGCTGCTGCTGGAGAGGATTTGTCGTAGTTTGATAGAAGGTATTGTGGCCCGAGGAACTGCAAGTGCTGCTGCTTGAACTGTGACTGCTGGACTCGTCCAGGCAGAGTTGCAGTTGACTAACCGCATTGCTCGTATTGCTGCTGCTGCTGCCGCCGGTTCCCCCATTCAGATCATCGACCAGATCCTGCAGTCTCCTTATGTACTCGACGGCGATCCGGAGCGTGTCCACCTTGGAGATCTTTTTGTGGGGTCCCCGGCCGCCGCCCTTGGTCAAGTCCGAGATGATCGACTGTGGGATGTGTTGGCGCAACCGGGCGAAGCTGTTGTTCACCTGTTTCACACGGTTCCGCTCGCGAGCGTTGCGTCTCTGAACGGACTGTGATTGATCCACATTGTAGGGAGCCGGCGAGGAGCCGGGCGACATGGACGAGACCGAATCGGAGGAGGACCTTGCCAGAGCCATGCCCCTCGGCGTATACTTGCGGGTCTTGATGGGCATTGCGGTCCCGTTGGCAGAGTTGGGTTGGTTCTGATTCTGATTCTGGTTGTGGCCCGGATTCAGAGGACTGGGCGCCGGCATTATGTGCTGATAGCGAAAGATTTTCGTGGCCGTGTTGATGGTTGTGGGGAAGAGGTCGTGGCTCGTCGTGGTCAGCACACTCGATGACATGGCTATCCTGGTTTTCGTTGTTCGATTGCTATTCAGATTGCTTTTCATAAACACACACACTTTGCGGTTGTTGTTGTTCTTTCGGTTTCGCTTGCCCAGAGTACGATCAACAGAAACAAAAAATACAAAGGTGAGGAGAGGAGAAGGCTTGAACTTGATCGTTTGACACCTTGCACAAGAATGAGTCCCTTCGTCCTAAACCCTCACGTTATGTACCCTTCAAGCTAGAGAGTCGCTCAAAAACCAGGCTGAGAAGCCAGGGAGAGCAATCGGAGAGAAATGCGGCGAAAGAGAGTGAGCGAGCGAGCTACCTGTGCAGGTAGAGCAGGCAAGAGCTGTGAGTGAGCCACAGGTAGTCGAGTCTCTCTCTCGTTCGCGCTCACGTACTCAAAAGTCCGGCAGGAAAACTGTTCCCACTCACAGAATCACTCGAGTGCAAATTGCAGCTCAAAACTGAACACTAAACTCGAAAAAAGAAGAAGAAACGATCCACTGCATTTCTGAGTGCTCTTTTTCGCAGCGGCATGCCAGCAATTTGATTTCCGTGTTAATTAACTTAGCAAAAGTCGCGATCGCCAATTTCATGTGCAGCTCACGCACGCCCCTATTCATTAGCGCCGGACGGATCGAAGAGGTCTCCAGGAGATCCCCGGGATCCTCCTTATTAGCCATGCAGAGTCAGCCCTCCGAAGGTGTTCGAACAATTTCACATATTCCTCTAATTAAATGATCAAAAGGATCACGGCTTTTTCACCCAAAACACGCCACAGTAAACAAAAAAGAGTTGGCAATGTGACAAAAGTTTTGGATGGCAGTTTTGCAGTAGTGACTTTATTGTTTCGTTTTTTAAAACCTTTAGGCTTATCATTAGGGAATAAAATTCAGTTAACTTTATAAACCAACCATGGTCCCCAAAATTTCAATTTCCCCTCCTTTTTTTACCCTGAAAATTGTTTGCTCCGATTGGAGTGGTCATCTCAGCCATTGACGATCGTGCTAAACGCCGACTACGAATTGCAACTTCCGCTCTGCTCACAAAAGTCGGCTCATTTTGTCGCGATCATCAATCGATGAGTGAACGAACGAGACGAACGGAACAATCGGCGGCCAGGTGTAAAGTTTTACTTCATTGTCCTCAACTCGTTCTCTTTGTTTAGCCAGCCAGCATTTTCCTTTTTGCCAAAATCATCAGCAGTGGCACTTCTCCATATTTCCATTTGCCAAATGTCAGATTCCCCGATCCCGAATTCGAAAATCAAAATCAAAAACCGAAACCAAAACCAAAGTGAAAACCGAAACCGAATAGCGAAAACCTTTTCAACCATGACCAGCAAACGGCGCTCTCTGTGTAGTTTCTATATCCATAGACCAACATATATATATTCTTTGACAATTTTCAATTCCCTTTTTTGCATGGCATGCTGTACTTTGTTTGGGAACCTCTACTCTTTTTCTGCATTGTAATGCCGGGATAGTCGGTAGTCGGTTTCCATTATTTTGGCATCATTAACACGTTCATTGTTCCCAAGTGTCGCAGAATTTTTGGCAATCCAACTTTCTATTCAAATTTTCGCATTTCCCCAGACTCCATTGTGGCATCTTTGATAAATGCAACTCGGAAAAGCAGGAGAAATGCTGGTGAAATGCCCAGAATAGGGTTGAAGTAGTTCTGTGGCCTTTGTGGCCATAGGGTTCCCTATTGTGTCTGCTGCTATTTGCCTGAAGTGGAATGCATTTGCGCAATGATTGATAGTTTTGATATGTTTTCCTGAAGTCGCAGTACCGATAACAAGATCGGCAAAATCGTATGTTCTTCCTTTTGTTCCAGGACCTTTGATCGGTCAAAAGTCAAATCCCGGTCAATGCCAAAGCGCTCACATGTAAATCTCACTCGTGCCAGTTGATCCCATGCCGAGATCACTATCTGGCGATCTTATCGAAATCTACCTGATCTTTTCTAATGTTTTTTCTTGCCAAAATAATGATCAGTATCACTTTAATACTGTTCAAAGGATTTCATATACATAACTATATCTTAGATTGATTTTTGTGAGGAAAGCAAACAATATTGATTTCTAAGGTTGATCGCAGTGCGATCTGAATGTTTTAGAGTTGTAATCCTGTGGTTGCTCCTTTGAAAGAACAACCAAAAGCCCCTGAAAGCAATAACCTGTAACTTCGGTGTTTCCTCGACAACTGGTAAACAACTTTTTCGGCCACTTTATTTGTTTATATCCTTTTTGAGCGGACTCGCAACGCTTGAGAGATTTAAATGCGTAATTACGTTGATATGAACCATAGTTCCGTGCCGCGAAAACGGGAAACGGAAAGGACTCGAGGGTGCGGGCGAAGAGCAGGGCGCGTGCGTTAATTTCGTGCAAGCAGGATTGGGCGATACAGGATATATGTACTATACTGTACATATATAAACTGTATGCTATATGTATATATATATATATATCCCGATCAGAGGGGCAACGCGTGCGTTTTCCAACGAAACTTGAAATGCAAAAATGAATGTTGAATGTTAATTGAAACGAGTTCCCGTTGCCAGGACCTGCAGTAGAGAGCAGGAGATCGACAGGTAGAAAGAGACAGAGTGATGTATATATAGACTCATCACGTGCCGTGCTCGCTTTCCACACTAAAAGAAAATATATATGATTCTGATAATGCTTTTGGCTGATGCTTAATTCGAATAAATCACAAACTTGTTATTTGAACTTGGAAATACATTTTTTAAAAAATAAATTTAGATTTTTAATAAATTTTACTTGAATCCTAACAAATAATTTTCCATTTTAAAGTTGCCCCAGTTTTTTGCGCCGTGCAGTCAGCGAAGCGTAGATGTTGCTCTCTCCCCAATTTCGGCTCAGTCATTTTCGTAGTTAATATTTTAATTTAATGCAGGAGCAGGCGCTGGCGCAGGACTCGCTCCCTCCGCTCCCTAAAACTCCTTTGGGCTCCTGGACTATGGCGACGCGTGGCAGGTGTATTTAAGCAAACGAATTGGGATCGCGAAGGGAAAAACACCGGAGAATGGGGAAGTCGTCGGGGCACACGGGCTTAGACAACCAACTTCCACTACCTCTCGGCTTCTACCTTTCTTTCTCGGTTGCAGCTGAAAAATAAACGAGCGCAGCACACCACTCAAATAAAATGGAAACACACGCTCTCATTTACTAGGGGTTGCTGCTTCTTTAGACCCGAGATGCATTTTCAGTTTCGGTCGACGCCACAAAATGGGGGAGCCAAAGTCAAAGTCAATGCCAGAAGATACAAAAACCGATGTGGATAAAGATACTACTGAAATACATATATATACCGCGCGAACGGAACATTGAACTTTGCACGGCCTAAAAGTTCAGCTTCAGATCGTCATGCCAAATCAAACAAAGGCGATCGGACCGAGGGGCTTTCAGATTTGTCTTGTCTCTTTCTTTTGATTGCTTTTTGGGGTTGAAGGGTAGATTGACTTTGATATAAGGTTTGTTCAAGAAAGTCCTAGATACCAGGTCTCGGTTTTACAATTATTTTTAAGGAGGAGACACCCCCAATTCTCTGGTCGCAACTATGTTTTTTTAACAGCTTACAATTTCTCAGTTTCTCTGGGTAAATAAGTACCACCTGATCTTTTATGAAAAAGTCTAACGATATTTGCAGGGCATCCCCAGTTCGTATTTCAAAGGATTGCCTTTGTTTTTCTTAGGGGCTTGCTTTATGAGTAGTCGCGGGCCAAAACAGCCGCGCTAAGACTTTTGAAATCCAGACGAGGTTCGATAGACGGACGGCTGATAACTATCATTACTCGGCGAGGAGTGTGTTTTGTCCATGCGGACTCTCGAATACATTTCGATCTGCCACGTTTCTCGGTCTCGTCTTTCTGCGGTCGAGAAACTGGATGATCATTGGACCCTGGCATAATGATGATCATGATCACACGATCCGGCGGGAAAGAGATGGAGCTACGCAGAAGGGCAGTAGCACGCACCATTAGATGCGGTCAACATGAAAACATCTGCTCTTCTGTGTACTCTTTTGGAGTCAAAAACAATAAATGAGCGATAGAGACGGCTACTGGGGAACAGAAAGAGATGGCAAATGTAAAGTGGCGTGCGCCATTTTCATGTGAGAAATGAAAAGTGTTTTGGAGCTCTACGATCACGATCGTTGTCCTTCAGATAGCCACAACATATCCCCCATGCAAATGAAGCCATTCCGGCGGCATATTTATGGCCAACACAGTGGTGCCTCATTAAAATTTAATCAATTTTTCGTGCTCCGCTTCCACGGATCGGCGGCCGTAAATCGCAGTTTAGTTCGGGATTAGTGCATATAACGTTTAATTTAAAAACGCATAAAATTTTGTAACAATGTCGCAGGCTAGTCGATGGGATGACCCTCTACCTCCATGTCGATTTCGATTCTCATTTCCAGACGATCTCTTGGCTCGCTCAACTTTTTGTGCCTTTTGCCGAACTTATCGGCAGATTCGAACTACATAGTTTGATTCTATTTTAATACCCTGTTCAGGGATTTTCAGGGGCTGTTAATTAAATTGAAACCTGGTTAAAATGCAGAAGAATATTCTACTTCAATTTATTTATTTTTTCTTTATGCAGACTTAGTAGATAGGCAGTCCTTCATTGATTTTTAATGAAGCAAATGGCATGCGATTCAAGTAAGGTAAAGGAATAACCTGAATGAATCCTGCGGATTCAATGTCAGGCAGTGCACAACTACTGTCTAGCCGTTAGATTTGCCAACAAATCATCAATCAAGAGCAGTATTAGAGCCAAATTCGACACCCTAGGGCCTCTAATTTGTGATAATCCCCTGGCGAAGTTCTCCGGAGGTGTGAACAGCCACACGAGACAAATACAGGTGAGAAAAAAGGTAGATGCGAAAAACGGAGAAGAAACTGCGGTTCTCAATGGCCGAGACTCTGGCATCCTATTAGTGGCAATTTTAAGCTGATTTACGCAGCAGCATGTTCCAATTAAAGTTCTCGCCTGAGCCTCTTAAAAACTCATTAATCACCCGCCTAACTACGTCCACGAATGGATTTCGAACTGGTCCCCAGATCGATTTCCAAATATTGCAAAAAAATAAAGAAAGACGGTCGGCGAAAAAGGTGCGAACCAATTTGCACCTCAGACGTC